ACTGGATCTCAATGAATACTTGTGGAATGACCTAGAAGAAACCAGACAGCAAATGACTGACAAAGGAATAGTCACTTAGCTATAAGGCCTCAAGGACTCCTCTTTCGCCTCTGTCATCCCATCATTGAGCATTTCCCTTTCTTTTACCAGATGAGTAATTCATTTCAAGGGCCACCTCTTCTTTTTCCCTTGACTCCATGCCCTGTCCCTTTTTGTGGGAGTTGATTGGTTCTACCAGAGGAGATGAAAAACCTAACAGAAGGAAGTCAGCTGCCCCCATCCAGCCTCATTTCCTTCTGAAATAAGAAACAATTACTTACCTTGACTTTTTTTTTTTTTTTTTTTTTTTTTTTTGACAGAACTGGGGATTGAACTCAGGGCCTTGCACTTGCCAGGCAAATGCTTATTCTACTGAACCATTTCCTCTGCCCTACTTTAAATATTCTCCAGCCTGCCCTTAACACCTCAGGGAAAGGAGAGTTTGTCTCTTGATCCCAGCCTATTTTTAGAAATTCCTATACTTAAATAATAATAAGAGCTATAACTCTGCAGTTTTTTCACTTGGGATATGCTTCTTGTGCTCTTGTTTATCTAAAATTCAAGGGACATATTTTCCTAATAACTCCTTCCTGACCACACCCTTGTCCTAGAATAGGAATTCTGTGCTGCCTTGAAAATCCAATCACTTCCTTGTGTGGTCTCAATGTTTGCATCACCCCAAAATTTATATGCTGAAACTCCCTCAAAGAAATGGGATCAGAAGATCAGGCTGTTGGGAAGCAATTAGGTCCTGAAGCCAGAGCACACATGAGCGTCTGTCGTGGTTTGAGGCAGATCTGAGTATCCCCTAAACATCCACTGTGGTTAAAAACTTGGCTGCCGGCATGTTGATGTACTCTAGGGTGACAGCTCAGCAGCCTGGGGCTGCCCATAGAAGGGGCAGTGTGGATGGCAGTGCCTTCCTCTGACTTGCTGTTGGGTCAGATGTTCACACATGTGCATGCACACACACACACACACACACACACACACATACACACACACACACACACGGAAAACAGCAGTATTTTCTACAATAAGGTCCCTGAGGAAATTGGTTTTATTTCTGTCATTCTTCATGTCTGAAACTTTAGCATGTCCTAAGGGGACAGAAATAAATCTTCCAGACTCAGCAAGTTGAAGTAGCCTTTCTGGCTGGGTACCAATGGGAACAAGGACTTGAACCCTGCTGGCCAAAGTGTTCTAATTTGTGACCACGTTGTGGGAGGCTCTAAAACCCAGTGGAACTGTTAGGGCCTTCAACATAATTTGTTTTTCAACAATGAACTTGAGTAAACTATCGAACTTTTCTGGGTCCCTTTTATCTTCATAACAACATTAATAAAGTTGAACCAGGTGAGATACTTTTCTTGGGCTTTCAAATGCTATGTCGACTTTAGAATTCAGTTTGAAAGAAAATCTAGAAAAATAAATGGAGCAGGTCTAAAAGTTAAATATAAATTTTCTACTTAAAATCAAATCTTCACAACTATTTTTTAATAGTATAAATCTTTTTTAAAAAGAAATAGTATTTAAAAAGAAAGTTCTAAGAAATTTAATACAATTCGGAGCAATGATTGTTTCGGAAATGGATGAGATGTGAAGCACAATGATATAAATAGGTTAAAATCCAAAAGGATTCATTCTTTATTTTTCTTTTTTAAAAAAATCAGACAACTTGTCACATCAAGGAAATGTGCACCGTTGCAGTGGGTACAGCCTTAGTCACCCTCGGAGTCACTGGCCCTCCTCTGCATGCACATGCGGACAGAGCTGTGCAGAAAAGACAGCACATGTCTTCAATGGGCTTCTTGGGGTTCTCTTCCAGGTCTGTCTTGATTGCTCCAGATTCAGACAGTTTCCACTCCAACTCATCTTTTGTCAGATTCATGTCCTCCAAGCGATGAACTGAGCCTTGACATCACTTTTGAGGTAGACAAATATTGTGGGCAGATTCCAATCAGGGTTGTTGGGTATGTAAGCTGTAGAAATGGCCTTGATAAACATGACATCAGGAAACTTTCTGGGTAGTCTGCTGACTGATGAGGACACAGAGGGGAATCCCTTGCTTGTAAAAGCCCTCACCAATTTTGGTAACTTCCTTTCCAGAGATCTCCAAAATTGAACTGCTTTCCACTCAGCCAGTCTTCAATGCCTGTGCATCTCAACAGCCTATTCATCTTCCTCATTGAATTCATCTTCATTATCTTCTAATTTTTCCAAAGTCATATCTTCATATGTTTTCACGACTGACTGCTGCAGGACCCTCTGCTCCTCCTCTTCCAGTTCTTTCAGGCTTTCCTTGGAGGGCAGGATGCCCTTTTGGTGTAAGATGTCATTCCATTCAGTGTCTACTTGAGGTCCTGCATCTTGGCCTTTGGTCACTCAAGCCAGCCCCACCTCAGCACCCTGGCCCTTCACAATTATTAAACTAAGAAATTGAAATGGAGCTTCCTCTGTACTTGTTTTGGTTTTGGTGTCCTCTGACCCATGCTCTCACTTGTGATCTCAGATCCATGTTAGATATGGTACACATACTTCTCACATGTAATTGTGTTCTAACCTAGTGTTGGCAGAGAGATATTTTCAGTCAATTTAACATGATTTCTCTTACACTCGTGTCATCTAGCTGCCCACCAACCTTTAAATACAGCACTGTGTGCTGGGAGGATTCTCCACAGCAGAAGTTTTGTCTTCCCAAGGTAGAGGCCCCCAGACTTATTTCCTAGCTCTCAAGCAGCTGGGAAGTAATAGCGGTGTGGCTGAGGCTGCTAATCAGACACACGACTTTGAGGCCAAGGAGAGACTGAGCAGCTGAGAAAGCAGAGAGGACCCAGAAAAACCCCTCTTCTGTTAGAAGCCCAGGCAGAGTCTTGAAGCGCAGGGGGTGGCTTGGTCTGGTGGCAGCAGGGTGGCAACAGGGGGACACTATAGATTTCAGGTAGGAGATTGGGGCAAAACCAGTCAAGCAAGTGGGCATGACCTGTCTTTGTGGAGACCCCAGGGTACATGCCCAGCATTTAGGACCTAGGAGAACTAGCTTCTGAACACCGTAGGTAGGACCAAGCTGGTAAGTACTGCTACCATTCTTCATTTACATCTGCCAGGAAACAAAGTGAGCCTTCTAGAGGACAGTGCACTCCTGAAGCGAGGCCAAGGGACTTTGTAGTAGTATAAGGGCACACACAAAGAATATCACACCTGTAGGCATATTGTACCAGAAGCTAGAAATTAATTCATAGCCTGTGACTATGCTCATGCTTCCTGTCACATAGCTGGACTTGACCATCTAGGCCCAGCTGTTCCCTCTTAACAATGTGTGGGTCAAACTGACTGTGTCCAGCTTGTGTTTTAAAATATGCAGTGACTGCAGCTTGCTTCAAGAATTTCAAGGCTGTCGTGTTTGGGGGAAGACTGGCCCAGTCAAGGACACTTCCAACTTTATCTACTCTTCTCAGAACCCCTCCTTCCCAGAATGTTTCTGTACAAACCTGCCTGACAATATATATTATATAATATACAATTCTTGTATCCCATGTACCAATCATGTGCTATCAGCTTTGTATTTCCTGCTACAAACCATATTTAAGCTAAACTCAAACCTGACTCTGACGGCCAGTGAGATAGCTCAGCAGACCAAGTGCCTGCCTAGGCAAGCGCAGGGACAGGGTTTGATCCCCAGCTCCATTGCTATGCCAGCCCCACCCCTAGACCTGCTGAGCCAGCCACTGAGATGGGGCATGGTGGCATACACCTGTAATCCTGGTGCTGGGGAGGCTGAAAACAGGAGGATCACTCAAGTCTGAGTGGCATAGTGAGACCCTGTGCCAAACACACTAAAAAAACAAAAAACAAAAAACAAAAAAAAGTGACTCTGGGCTGGTGATTTGAACCACTGGGTTCCCCAGCCCACTAGCATAATAAAAGTTGCCTTCTAACTCCTCGGTGCAAAGTTTTCCATTTGGTTTTATTTTATTTTTTTAATTTCTGCAACAATAGGACAAGTGTCCTGATGCCTTGTTTGCATGAGGGAGAAGAAATCTAGGAATTTGAGATACAAAGGCCCCTTCTCTTGTCCTCATTGCTGCTGGTAGCCTATTCCCTGGCCTGCTGTCACTTTGCAGAGCACATTTCACTTCAGTAATTGCCTGGCAGGGAGCAGAGAGGAGGCTGGAAAGCATCCCCGCTGCCTTTTCTGAGTCTGATACAGCGCTTTGTTGAGGACACCAAAAACCTGGGAGGAATTTCCTTGGGGTCCCACAGTCAGTAGCAGACTGCTTATGGTGTTCTCCATTCGCAGCATCCTGACCCTGGCCCTCTGCAAACTTACAGGTACACTTTAATAAACCTATTCCTGCTGAAACTGGATAGAGTGAGTTCTGTGCCTGGCAAACAAGAACATTGACCTGTGGTGTTCAGTATCCAAATACTCTTGTGCATTGAAAAGCTAAATATTTACTTTGTCTCTTCTTCCATTAAGATATTTTTTAGTTCATCAAAAACTATGACTGGGGGCTGGAGAGATGGCTCAGTGGTCTAAAGCACCTACTTGGAACAAGCTTGGCAAAGCACAGGGACCGCGGTTCAATCCTCCAGCACCACATGCCAGCCAGCCGCGCCCCCTGGTGGGCTGAGCTGGCCACACACACACACACACACACACACACACACACACACACACACTAAATGTTAAAATAAAAAAAAATTAAAAAAAAAACTATGACTGTTACTTCAGAAATATTTATTTATTCAACAAACTTTGAGCTTAGAGCTAAAAGAATATGGTGATTAGTAAGACATAAGCCCTGTCCCTAGGAGCCCATATTTGCTTCTGAGCAGAGCAGCAAACCCTGGATAACATAATAATTACAATTATTAACAAGGACCTGGCCTGCTACAGGTACCTCAGAGCTCCACAGCTCCCCCCCCACCTCCGCAAGGCCCTGGAGTAGGATCAGCTGTTATCCTGCAGAAGGGAGCAAGGAGCTCCCACGAGAGAGGCCATGTCTGCAGTGCCTGCCTGGCAGGGAGCAGAGAGGAGGCTGGAAAGCATCCCTCAGCACCCCACACCTCCCACACTCACGGCCCTGCCAGTCAGTGTCTGTTTCACCAGCATTGCTCACAGGCTTTCTGCTCCAAAGTGCATCCCTTTGACTGTACAGCTGGAAGCCAACAGTCACAACTGAACTAGGAAAATGTAAAGAATCCCCTCCTCTTCCTCCTCCTCCTCCTCTTCCTCTTCCTCCTCCTTTTCAAAGATTAAACCAAGGCTGCACCATAGACAGTGACCCTCAGTTTCCTGAGTAAAATTTTGAAACACTATTTTCAGTACTGTCCTTAACCCTCTATGGAATGTTTCTCTCTCTCTCTCTCTCTCTCTCTCTCTCTCTCTCTCTCTCTCTCTCTCTCTCTCTCCCCCTCCTCCTCCATCCCTCCTTCCCCCTCCTCTCTCTTTCTCTCCTCACTGTGTAGCGCAAGCTGGCCTTGAACTCACTGAGATTCACTTGCCTCTGTCTCCCAAGTACTGGATTACAGACATGTGCCACCACACCCAACTGTAGTTTAATCTTAAAACAGGAGCTGGAATGAACCAAAGCATGCCCTGATTAAAGCCTTGCAGAGTTAGAAAGTCTTTCTTGGAAGTAATCTTTCTAGGAAGGGCTTCCTGGGTCCTCCCTACCTGAAATGTCAACTTCTCTTCAGGGGCAGGGGAGTACGTAGGCAAGGAAAGAACAGAATAAAGGCCTCTTTGGGTTTTCTGGCTAATCCTGACAAGAAGGAGTTAAAACTTTACCAGAGAAATCCCCATGGGTACAGTTTCAAGGGCAAGGTGGAGACAAAAAAGAAAACCAGAAGAAGAAAGGCCCAAGGTAGCACAGGTGACATTGGGACTTACCAGAGGGAAGACTAACAAGCAGAGCTCAGAGAGAGCTGAGCGCATGAAGCCAAGAATCCAAGACAACCTCCCTCCCTTCTCTCCACCAGTAGAATGAGGGAGACAGAGGGGGAAGAGGCTGTCTAACTTTGGGGAAGGCTCCTATTCAGTGTATAAAAATATACATTAACTTCTCTGTATATGGAAGACACAGAGACAGACAGACAGACACAGAAACAGAGAAATCGATCACTGGAATCACTAAACAGGTCACGTCACAACTGAACCTATACAAACTTCCTTTTATTAAATGCTGTCTCTCTTAATTCCTTATTGGTGCTGAGTTTACAATTCTGGTCAGTCACTCATCTCAGCAAAGCAGTGGTTCACACCCTGGGCACAAGAATCTCCCCGAGGTAGAGTCTGGAATGACCAGTGTGGGTCCAAGACAGAGGCTTCCCCAGGACAGAGGACTTTCTCTGGGGAAATTGAGTCAGTGCTGGGATTACCAGGATGGGCAATAACCCTAGCACCTGGATCTAGCCTGTCTCCTAACATTCTTAAATATTTGGGTTTTTGTTTGTTTGTTTGTTTTTGTTTGTTTGTTTGGTTTTTTTTGTGGACCTGGGGACTGAACTCAGGCCCTTGTGCTTGCCAGGGAAGCACTTATTCTACTGAGCCATCTCCCCAGCTCCTTAAATATTTGTTGAAAAGAGTGAGTGAATGAGCAAGTAGGCAAGAGAAAGAAGTGCTTTTAGAGGCAAGTGTAATATGGTTATTTATTGGCCCTAAAATCAGAAAGCATAGCAGCATACAAGGATGTTTCAGCACGGAAAGGGGCTCCATGAATGGGAGATCAGTGTTTTCCGATTTCCAGCTCAGACTTTGCTGCTATTGGAAGTGGTTGCTAACAGTGTTCCATACTCACTTTTTAGATGATGGTTAGAATTAGGCCAGGTGTGGTGATGGTGGTACACACCGTAAACCAAGCTACCCAGGAGGCTGAAGCAGGAAGGTTACAAAGTTATCTGAGAGCGACCCTGTCACAAGATTTAAAAGGGCTAGAGATGTACCACAGGGATAGAGTACTTGTGTGAGGCCATGTGTTTGGTATCTATTATTGCAAAAGCAAAAGAACATCAGTCAGAATGATATTAGTTTTACTTGGTTCAGACTTAAAAACAGTTCCCACATTTTAAGTGGTGATGGTACTTCTAAAAGGGTACTTTCCCCCACTGCTCTGGACCCCGGATCCTGACTCTCCCCCTCTTCTGCTCCCTCCTTCCTCATGCAGCAAGAGTGAAGGGCTGTGCTACCCCCAGCCAGTCCGGTCATGGCCCACTGTCCCTGAGCTGCACACCTCCTGCCACGCCCTGCCCCAGTTCCCTCTGACTCTGTGGCCTGTGCATGCAATGCTCTCCTCTTCCTCCTCCTGGCTGCCCTGAGCAGATAACAGATGCTGTCAATGAAAGGCCGTTGCCAGAGGGCCTTTCACAACACAACCCCAAGGTCAGGTGGAATTGCACTCTTCTAAAACTCCTCTGTGTTTTCTTTATTGATTTCACAGAATCTGTGCACATCTTCAAGGCAGCTGACTGTACAGCCAAAATGGGTTGCTTAACTGGGTCTACCATGTCACATAAGGTGTCAGACCACAGCTACTAACTTGCCAGCAGGAGTTGTTTATCCCACTGACCTTCGGTCCAGCTTCCCCCTGAACTGCTGGCTCTACTTGCAGAAGGGATCGTTCCAGGCAATCCACTATTCTTGATAACTCTCTAGGACAGCAAACATTTACTCGGAAACCGGACAGAGCTAGTTCAAGCTGGTTTTTTTGTAGTTTCACTGTTCATTCTTTATTTCTTTTAATGTACCTTTCTCATAATTTTTTTCTTTAGCAAATCAGAACCTGTAAAAATCTCACCTTTTAAACAAATTGTCATTTATAAATGCCAAAATATTTATAATAAATTACAAGTAATTGAACATTTAGCATGCATTCAAAATTCTTTATTTTTTTTCTCCAAAATTTAAGAGCGTGAGCCTGCAGAGCTACACTTAATTCCAATTCCTTTTTGCCCAGTTCATGCTCAGAATTTCCCAGTTGCAGCACCTATAAAGCTAATTTTTCCAAAGCAGGATCCAACCCAGGCCCATACATCTTACGTGTTTGTTCTGCGGAGGAATCTGACCCTGGGACGTGTAGACACCATATCTGCAGACACTCAGCTCACCTGTTGAAATGGCACAGGATTTGCACATCACCTACACATGTCCCTCCATGTGTATCAAATATCTGGATCATTTGGTACCTACTGCAATGTATGCGCTGTGTAAATAAGTATAATACTGTACTGCTTAGAGAATACTGACAAAAAATAAAATAAACTTTGTAAGTTAGCCTTGAAAATTCTTGTTAAGTTTCTTCCTCAATATTTAATAATCTTGCAAAAAGTGTGTTGTCAAGTGCATAGAGAGAAGCAATGACTTTTGTACATAAATCTGTGCGTATCACTTACTCAGTGCTATTGTCTGTAATAGCCTTGCAGATGATCTTCTTGTGATTTCTTGCTGAATAGATATTTTATCTGCACCAAATACTAATTCCACTTTTGCTTTTCCAATATTCTGAATTATATAAATGTGTTGTTTCTATGGGTAAAACAGGATAAATAAAAATAGAGACTTTAGGAGTACTTTCTTGGTTTTATTTTGAGGCATGATCATTAACCGAAGTTGAAATACTTTTTCTTAATGTTTTTATTGTGTCTGATGTGTAATTCAATCATATACAAATTATGGAGTCTTTCAATGTAAGAAATCCTTCTTTAAACATTTTTATTTGGGGCTGGGGCATAGCTCAGTGGTAGAGTAGGTGTTTTCCACATTCGAGGTCCTGAACTCAGTCCCTAGTATCAACACCCAATAGAACAGAAACCCTCATTGGTCTATTGGTTTATGTCTTGAGAGTTCTGTCAGCTCTACCAGTGTTCTAGCTATGAGTCATCCAAGCAAAGTAGCACTGAGCGAGGGTATGAAATCTCTTGGCACGGTTTTCTGTAAACTTCGTCAGTGGGTGTCATGGGCATTATGGCCGAGGCCGACCCTTGTGGTATGTCTCATCTTCCCTTGCTGCTCATGGCCTGCATAGCTTTTCAAGTTTATTTTTTCTTATTATTGTCTTCATTCACATTTTTTAACTCATGTCACTCCTATGACCGTCACATTCTGAAGAATATACTTTAGTTATGTTTTCATATATGTCACAGCTGTCCATCGGAAAAGCCACCAAATTCCTTTGTTCCTTCTGGAAGTCTAAATGCAGTGCTCTGTTAACATAGGCCTCAGTTGATTCGCTTTTTAACTTCATTTAAACTTTTTTTATTAATACATGTTTATAATAAATAATGATCCTGCTCATTGTGGAAAGTTGGCACATGTGCATGACAGGTCTTAATTTTCTCTTTCCTGTCCTCTCCTCTTTTCTTCCTTTCTCTGATTTTCATTTTTATAGGCCAATGGATCTGGGCTGAAAAACACTTCCTCACACCTACCGTGCAGCATTTGCTTGTATACTATACTGCTTATAGCCTGTATGATATGAAGCTGGGTGGGTGTCTTAGCTCATGCTGGTGCAGACCCCCACTTCAGTGCCATCTCTCCACTCTGGCTCTTTCCACAGCACCAGGCTCTCTCCTCTTCCACGAGCTCAGTCTGCTAAGTGGCAGTTAAGTGAGCATCTACTCCAGAGTGTGGGGTTTAGGACCAGGCTGTGCTAGAGTGTGGCCAGGAGAGAGCCTCACACACAACCCAGGTGATTCTGTGATGCTCCCAAATGTGCCTGGAGCACATACACATCCAGGCTCTGTTTTAAGAACCTTGTGGTCTCATGTAGCTTGCACAGCACCCCAGTGGGCATACTTCTATTGTTATCCACAGTTCTCAGATGAGGAAATAAAGGCACAAAAGCTAAGTATCTGTGTAATGTCACCAAATCTATGACAAAGTGCCTTTTAAGACCTAGGCTTTTCTATTTGGAGGACTGTGCAAGAAGGGGGACAGGAAAGGTGCAACAATCATCTTTAACGTTG